AGTTTAGGAGTGTTGGGTTTCCTTTCTTACAGTGCCTGGAGGTGTGGGGGATCCTAGGTGGGCCCATTTCAATACAGGTGAAAGGTTTGGCCAGATCTGGCCTAGGAACCTGTACAATTTGTTGCAATTACTGTTGGTGGGTAACGAAGTCTCCCACACCTGCTGTGTGACAGTGTATCCCACAGTGAGCAGCTGGCAACACCCACTTTACAGTGTGCATAGACTGTGGGTCAGGAACTGGGCTGAGACAGCAAGCAGGCTCTGGGACTGCTGCTGGGGACATCACAGTTGAGAGGGGCGCAGCCACCGGGGGCTGCGGTCCTGAGACCTTACCAGGCAGTGGCTGGGGGTGGGAGTGGCCACTGGCTGAGCCCGGGGTGTGAACCCACAGGGGTGAGGCTCCTTCTAGCCCAGAGTTTTCCAACACGGAGTCCGAGTCCGGTTTTCAGAGTAGGCCCGAGAACATCATGTTTGCACATTCTGCTGGGCAAATCTCAGGCCTGCCTGGATTCAAGGGTAGAAAACAATGCCTCTCTCTGTCTCTGTGTTTCCCTGGTATTGGAGACTGAACCCAGGGCCTCTCTACTGAGCTCTATCCTCACACCTTTTTGTTTTTTTTTTATTTTGAGGCAGGGTCTCGCTAAGTTACTAGGTTGCCCAGGCTGGGCTTTGATTTGAGCTCCTGCTGCCTCAGCCTCCAATAGTGCTGGGATTACAGGTGCACACCACCCTTCCTGGCACACCCTTTCTTAACAGTAGGGAAGGAGGCAGTCCAGGCCATCCTGAAGGTCAGTGATAGGAACCTTTCAGAGCTTTCAATGATACAAATAGCCTGCTGCCATGCTCCCGTGTAGGTCTGCTGCCACTGCTGTAAGAGAACGTGTGGGACCGGAGGCCCCGCTGCAGCCGCCTTCTAAGACACTATCTCCCATCATAGAAGGGCGCCTCCCCTCGGGCGTCACCGAGAACAGTGACTAAGGGCCGGGCCCTGGACTCAGACACCAGGACCATGACGGATGCCTGGCCAGCATGGGTGTGGCTTGTGGCCCAGCGCCGGGCTGGGTTTGAATCCAGTCTCTCCAGCAAGCAAGAAACCAGCCACCTGGCCCAGGAGGCAGCCTGCCGACAGCGACGGACGACAAAGGTCCATTCTCAAAGGACTCCTGAACGCAAAACTGGGCGTGAAACAAGCCTGCAGTAGGGCCAGAGGCACAGCGGAAAGTTGTCAGCAGAGGGCGCTAGAGAGGCGCCGCAGGAAGGCGGTTCCGCTCCGGCGAACCAGGGGACTCGCAGTGGGGCTGCAGAGGACTCGGACCCCGCGCAGAGGGTGCGGTGACGTGGCCCCGGACTGCAGGGCACCGGGTGACGTCCCCAGACTGGCCTCGATGCGGGTGCGTTTGTGACGCGGAAGTCTTGCGCACCGTGAGGACCATTTCTTGTTGTGCCTTTTATCAGTGCACGTTCGTAGTACAGGACGCTCAGAAGCACGGCGTAGAGGTGGTCCACGCACGCCACACGCCTTAAGGCTGGCCTGGTCCCCACTGCTCGGCGAGGCCCTCTGACGCCCCCGCAGCCTCCTTCAGACCCTATCCCAAGATAAAAAATAAAAATCCAAGGCTGGGCATGGTGGTGCGCACTTGAAATCCCAGCACTCGGAAGCTGAGGTGGGGTACAGCCACAAGTTCAAGGCCAGCTTGCACTACAAAGGAAGACCCTGTCTCAAAGACAATAAAATAAAGGGTTGGGAATGTAGCTCAGCATGAAGGCCCTGGGTTTGATCCCCAGGACCCAGACCCAAGCCCAACCCAAAAGATGTTAAGAGAGGAGACCGCTTAGGAAGTGGGAGGTGTACAGGAACTTCGTATGTTTAGCATCATTTTTCTGTAAACCTAAAACTCCTCTAAAAAATAAAATGTATTAAAACAGTCTTATTAGGTTTGCAATACATAATAAATATGCTTCTTGTGAGGGAACTGGAACATATATATATATATACACTCTTTACTATGAGACAGGGTCACTAAATTGCCCAGGCTGGGTTCAAACTTTTGATCTTCCTGCCTCAGCCTCCCAGACTGCTGTGATTAGAGGTGAGTACCACCCTACCAGGCTTAACTGTATTTTAAAAAGTCACTGATGGGGGGTGGTGAGAAAAAGGGGACATAATTAAGACATGTACATGTATTCACTCCCCACGTGAATGTATAGTAATCACGCACTGCAAACGTAATAAATATAAAAGTTTTAAAAATTTAAAAGCTGGACATGGCAGCACACACTTGTAACCTCAGCACTTGGGAGGCCAAGGCAGGATTGCTGTGAGTTGGAGGCCAGCCTGAACTGCATAGCAAGATCTTGTCTGAAAAAACAAAAAAGCAGTGCACCTCCCAGGAGCAGTATCAGCTACTAGAGCCGCTGGCAGGCTCAGCACTGATGTCAGATGTGATCTGGGCTCTGCTGAAACAGATGAGCTGAACGACGCAGCCAGGCCAGCGCGGCGCTGTGGGTTAACCTCTCCCCGGCTCGGGTTGGTTTCCACCTGTGCTTACCCTCTGCCCCAATTTCTGCAACTTTTTTTTTAGGTGGTGCCAGGGATTGAATCCAGCACTTTCACAACAGCTATACAGCTCATTCATTCATTCAATAGTTTGAGACAGGGCCTCACTAAGTTGAAAAATTGCCCAGGCTCATCTTCACCTTAGGATCCTCCTGCCTCAGCGTCCCAGAGTGTACCACTACATCCAGCTTCTTTTTTAAAGCATGGCATGTGTATTTTCCTAAGATGCTGGAAATCTGACTTGGTACAGTGAAGTGTTACTTGAAACACTGATGACTTCCTGAATTCACTGTGGCAGGCTATTTTTGGTGACTCTACTTAAAATATCCTAGGTCAAGTTCCCTAGCTGAATATCAACAGGAGTAGTCCAGATCTGAAGAGTTCCTCTGCTGGGGAAGACCCTGTCTCCGAAGAAGAAAGGCCTTGGGCTTGCCCCCGATGTCCCCTTACCCTATTTGCACACAGCACAGCCTTGGTGGGACCCACCCAGATCACAGCCACCCCAACGCCCACAACTGCCTGCAAACTAAGGCTTCTGCACCGCCATGGCTTAAGTGGGAGGAACTCTACAACTGCAAATCACACAGCCTATCATTTGGCTGTACTGAGGCCTAACCCAGAGCCTGTGCCTCCAGCTCACCTGCGCCTCCAGCCCTTTGATCTGAGACAGGGTCTAAATCACTAAGTAGCCCAGGCTGGGGTCAAACTTGCAATCCTAGGGGCTGGGGATTTAGCTCAGTGGCACAGCACCTGCCTGGCAAGCGCAAGGTCATGAGTTCCCTTCCCGGTACTGGAAAAAAACCAACCCCCCCCCCCAACCTTGCAATCCAAGTTTCCTGCCTTGGCCTCCCAAGTGCTGGGGTCACAGGTGTGCACCCTCGTGCTCAGGTGAAAATGGCTACAATGTCAATGGCGTTCTTCAGCAGTATTTACTTAACTGAAAACAAATTCGATCCGGGGATATAGCTCAGTGGCATAAGCACCTGCCTGGCTAGCGCAAGGTCCTGAGTTCAATTCCTGATTTAAAAAAAAAAAAAAAAAACAGCAACAACAACCAAAAAACTAATTTGGGGATGGGGATTCAGCTCAGCAGCACAGCGCTTGCCTGGCAAGCGCAAGGTCCTGCATTGAATTCCTGGTACTGGAAACAAAACAAAAAAACAAAGAAAGAAAGAAAACAAATCGGGGCACAGCACCCACCTGGTAAACATGAGATCCTGAGTTTGATTCCTGACACCAAGAAAAAAAGAAAACAAATGGGAGTAACGGCCGCTTCTTCATTATGTGACAATCAGCATACAAATTTGTTAGACTCTTACCACATTGGCATGAATAAATGGATTCAATCATTTCTAAGTATGTATTTATTTAACGGTGCTGGGGTGCTCCCGGTGCTAGCCCCCAGCCTGGTTTTATTTTTGAGGATCTGCTGACTTGTGCAGGCTGGTCTCACCTCGTGGTCCTTCTGCCTCAGCCCCCTTGCGTCAGTTGCCTTGTACCGAGTGACCCACGCCTCGGCTTAGAGCGGCACCGGCCTGGTGTGCGGCCGTCTGCACTGCCCGCCTGGTGCTCGGTGAGCCGCCAGTACTCACTGGGTGCGGAGATAGCATAGCACCGAAGAGCCGTGTGCAGGCAGTGCTGGCCCGGCTCGGGCTCCCTGCACCCGGGCCACACCACCCCTGGGGAACAGGGCGTTCTGGTCTCCATGGCCTGACGGAGCCTGCAGCGGCGCAGTCCGTGCACTGCGCGGTGCCTCATTTGCAGCCTGCTCGAAAGGCTGGCTCTGGCGTCGCCTCAGTCCTGGTCCGGACCACAGAAGGCAGGCTGGGGGTGGGGCGGCACCGGGGCTGAGCCTTGGCTTCTTCAATGGCAGCGGCGCTCGGCTGCCCGCTGGGCACAGGCTGCCCACCCTGCCCCCAGAAACGAGACCAGCCAGTGGCTCCACAGAGGCCGGGCAGGTCGGCTGCAGGTCACCCCGGAATGGAGGCGGTCAAGGCGTGGACCCAGAGCACGCGGTCTCCCGTGCAGAGGCGGCCCTACGGTACGGGGACCGAGCATCAAGGGTACACAGCCTGGGGTGGGAGAAACCTGTCACGGCGTGTGGCCACTGTCCCCTCAAAGCCTCCTGCAACCACGGGGACAGGAGCCAGGGTCAGCGTGAGCCCGCAGGAAGAGGGACTTACCAGTCCCAGGAACAGCCCGACGCCAGGAGACGGAGCCCTCATTCACTCACAGGGCTCACCACGTGGGGAGCCGCATCACCGCGGGGAGCTCCTCCACGGTCCTCCTGTGCCAGCCGTGCTCTCCCGCTGCCCCCGCGTGCGCCTGCTGTCCTGCCAGCGCAGCCACCTGCCCGCCCGCCCGTCCTGCCCGGGACTGCGACCGGCTATCCAGTGCTGGCCAACAGTGCCCCCTGCAGCTTTTCTGGGCTATTCCACACAGCTTTGTAATTTTAGATCTTTATTTTAAAACTTTTTATACACGATCAAACCTTTCTTCGAAAGCGAGAGGTTTAACATGGATCAATGATGCTCACAGGAATCCTGCTCCACAGACGAGTTAGTCTCTACTGCCCACACTACAATCACCACGCGCTCGTATGCCAGGCTGTGTTCGCTTTGACAGGACATGCGCGACGCACGGCGCTGGGTGACGGTGACAGCAGTCCCTCAAGGAGCTCACAGTCTAATGGTAACTACTGAGTAAACTGAGGCACGGGTGGTAAATGACTTACCGCTGAGGTAGAGCAGAGGTGCTCAGAGCAGGGACCAGCACTGGGGGAGGGCGGGGACAGCGCAGGGCGCAGAGCCCAAGAGGGCCACACACAGACGTGTGACCCCATTCACCTGCAGAAAGCGTACGGCAGGCTCCAACGTCACCGTGACTAGGTCAACCGTTACTGACGGCATTTCTGGCCTGGCCCCGAAGGCCTGCGGCCACACCCACGGGGACACAGTGACGGCTCCCACAGGGAGCCGCAAAGCGAGGAGGCTGCGCGTGGTCCTTGCACACGCAGGTGTGTGTGGACCTCACCTCCAACCTCGCCCAGGAGTGTAATAAATTAGAGAGCCAAGGACACCGCGCCTGTGGCCACCGTCCACACGTACATTCACTCAGCGTACAAGGCGGTGGCGTCACGGGACGCGTTTCACGGGAGGCTAAACATGATACAGGTATGTACAGACACTGCACTGGTCCAGGCGCACACTGGCCAGCACCCACGACTGCTGGGGGGACCCAGCATAAGGCAACTTCTCCTGCGTCGGCGACAGGAGGCCGAGGCCCCACCTGAGCGCCTGTCTCCAGGGCCCTCACAGAGAGCAGCGAGCCGAGTCACACTGCACAGCTGTTCCCGAGGCACACACACTCTGCCGGCCGCCTGGGGAGGGTGCTGCTCAAAGCCACCACTGGCCCGACTGCTGCTGCTGCTAAGGGGTGGGGCTCCCCTCGCCAGCTCTGTGGGGTCTCCGCTCCAAGGGTTTCGACTCCGCCCCGCCAGCTGCTCGGAGAGCCGTGGCCGCAGCCCCAGCTCAGTTGCTCACCTCCAGCATCTCCTCACTCTGCGGAGGTGGCTCCTCTGCAAAGGGACAGACAGACAGCTGCATGACACTGGACGCCTCCACAACGGGAGGGCTCCACCAGAACCCGTGCTCCCCTCAGTCTCGCAGGGATAAACCGAGAAACCTCTTCTGATCTTCTGAGGCCGGTAGCCCGGGAGGAATGCAGAGCCTCTGCCAGTACCGCCATGCGGGACAGGAGCTCCAGGTCACTCAGGCCCGCCTCGGGAGGACAGGAAGCTCAAGCCACCTTACGGCTGCCCGCCACCCACACACCCGCACCAAGTCTCCCTCACTGGCACCTTTCTGGGGATGCGTGGGGCGCGCGCTTGCGGCTGGGCGGCTCTGCTCCACCTCACACAGGTACACGTCGATGGGCCCCTTGGTACTCCGGATGTGCACTGTGATAGCGTCCTGGGGGGCCAGCGGAGCAGCGTTAGCCTGGCGCTCTCTGCTCCAGGAGGAAGCAGTGCCCCACACTTGCAGAGGGGCCGCTGACGGGGAGCCAGGCAGGCGGAGTCCTCCTTAGGACTTGTCTCCAGGGGGAAGAACCAAGAGGCCAAGCCACATGTGGAGACAGGAGCGTGACCAGTGGACTCGTGGGCTGGAGCTTCACAACCCTTGCTTCCGATCTACCCAGGAATGGCCACGATGCTGCTCCCAGCAGAAAGCCTCCAAAGGAGCCAGGTAGCCAGGAGCAGCTCTAGTTAGGGTTCCTGCGTCCGATGGGAGCAGGTCACTCTGCTCAGGCCCGGTCCCCTGCCCAGTAGTCTAGCTGGGCTGGCCCCTCCTGTGTCACCTCAACAGGGCGCTGGCCTCTCGGAGCCAAGCATGGCGCCACATGCCTGTAATCTCAGCATGCAGAGGCTAAACCAGGAAGACCTTGAGCTTGAGGCCAGTCTGGGCAATTGTGAGACTTCGTCTCAAAACTGTATTACAAAGGGTTTGGGGTGCAGCTCACTGGTATGGTACCTGCCTGGCATGTGTAAAACCCTGGGTTTAATCCCTAGTACTACAGGAAAAAAGGTAACCCAAGATAACCCTGAGGGGTCCCAGCTCACCCACCTGTCACCGTTGCTGCGTCCTGGCCCCAGGCAGGGGCAGGAGAGCACCTATACTACCCAGGGCCAGTATGCTCGGGGCTCAGCAGCTTCCAACCCCGGCAAAGCAACGCAGCACAGTGTGGCCTAGGTGTAGCACCCCCTCCCTCCCTCCTGTACTCCAACTCCTCTGAAGCCAGCCAGAACCCCTTCTGGGACCTGGTAGGCCAAGGACGACCTCGGTGACTCAATTCCCTATGGTCGTCGGGCACCATGTCACCTGGGAAGGCAAGTCTATCATCCTTGTGTGCTGCGCTGAGTCAGAGTTCGTCAGTGTGTGAGCTGTCTCGTATGGGCAGCCACACTGCCTACAAGGACACGACAGCCACTCAGCCACCTGACTGCAGCAAGCGATGGGCTCACAGCCACCCCCGGGACACGTGCCGTCACCTACCTCTCTGGGCGCCGGGACGTCCAGTCTGGTCTCCTCCGGGGCCTTCACTGCGATGACAATCTGCTCGTGGAAGGCCCGGATGCTGTGGATGTCCTGGTAGGTGACGTACGCCAGTGTAGGGTCCAGTCAAGGACCTAAGCGGGGTTGGGGGCTCAGGTGGGAGAACCCAGGTGCTGCAGTAGCTTTCACTTTACAAACTCCAAGTCAGGAGTGCAGTAGGCGAAACACATCACCTCCTACACGCTACTGTGACTGTGGTAAGTTTCTAGAGAGGTGTTAACAGAACCTGAGTCCCTAAACACACACATTCAGGAGGGATGGCTAGCTGCTCTTGTCCCGCGGCCCTGTCCCAAGGCACTCAGTGGGTGCCGGAAGCAAAGGACAGGGCCTGAGTGGCCACATCGTTCTTTCCCACCACACCATGGGCACATCCTGCAGTTCCAGCCAAATCACACATCAGGCACAGCAAGGCCCAGCGGCAACTAAGGATAAAATACTCTCACCACGACATGCTGCGTAAGGCAGGGATTACTTAAAACTCTTCAGTTGTTCATTTCTGGGATTTCCCACTTGATATACTTGGGCCACAGTGGACCATGGGCAAGTGAACCACAGAAAGCAAAAGCCCAAACAAGGACAGACAGCTCTGTTCAAATCCCACCTCTGCCTGTTCAGGGGTAGATTGTTCTATAAAAACTTCAGGAAAAAGTATTTGAGTTTTCATAAGCCCATCATTTCCCTAATTTGTAGAAAGTAGCGATAACTTAGAGAACAGATTTCTTAGAACTGTCATATATTCCGGGATCTCCCTTCTCTAAAATTATTTTCCACCTCATGATCTGAATGCTTTTCATCTTGTCCGAGCTTCCTGAAACTACTCATGATCCGACTTCATTGTCTTTTTTAAAAAGGTAGTGGGGTTGAACCCAGGGCCTTGCCACTGAGCTCCATCCCAGCCCTTTCTATTTGGAGACTGGGTCTTACCAAGCAGCTATGCTGCCCAGCTGGGATTTGAGATCCTCTCGCTTCAGCCTCTGGGGATGCTGGGGTTGTGAGCAAGAACCACTAGCACTTTCTCTGTACTACACACACTCTTTCCGCAGTGGGGACAAGCGTGTGGACTTGTGTTTGCTTTCTGCGGACTGCACCGTGGGAAAGGGCTGTGATGCCGCGAGGGGGCGCCTGCAGCACCAGGCAGCGTGGAGTCGGTGGTAGCTGGCGGAGTTTGGCTGAACCCAGGGTGAACGCAGTCACTCGGGGCTCTACTGACCACGCTGAGTCAGCAAGGCCCATCAGCTACGAAGAGGCAGGCGAAGGTCACAGGTAAAGGCGATATCCCTTCCCATCTATTCTCTAGAAAGCCCGATGGGAAAAACAGTGTGCACCAGGTGCTGCTTGGTCTCAACATGCAGGAGCAGCTGCTGGTAACTACAGGAAATGGATGTCCTTTTCTGGGGCAAAGGTCAGGGCCTGGGAGAGAGGTCAGCACAGGACCAGGCTCCCATGGTTGTGGACACTGGGTTTGGAGCAGGGCCAGCCCGGGCCACCAGGGGCATGGGGGATGTCTCAAGCACCACCTCAATGGCAATTCGTACTGCTTCGGAAATAAACTCTGGTTCACAGACTAGGAACGAGATGATCTTCTCCAAACCCGCAAGTATTTTACTGTCTTTATTATCATGGTCCTCACTGTCTGAAAAGTACAATGAGAACAGACTCCGCTGTTCTAAAGGGAAAGACTGGCCTGGGTCCGTGCCCGACACGCCGTACAAAGAATGCCACCCTAAGGCCCATCACCTCGAGGAGAGGCCCGATGCACTATCCGTGGGTGCCCGTGGCCAGACCACAAGACTCCACTTACTTTCACATTTAAAGGTCTCACTTTAGGGGGCTGGGGATTTAGATCAGCGGCACAATGCCGGCCTGGCAAGCGCAAGGTCTTGAGTTCAATTCCCGGTACCGGAAAAAAAACAAAAGAAAGGTCTCACTTTATATTGTGAATACACAGATTAAATCCCTAGGTTGACCCTATTACTTAATCAGCTGTGGTGGTATATACCTGTCATCCCAGCACTCGGGAGGTTGAGGCAGGACGATTGCCATGAGCTCAAGACCAGCCTGGGCTACATGAGACCCTGCCTCAACAGACAGACACAGACAGACGTACGTACAGATTTAAAGGATATCTTTCGTTCTCCTTGTCATCCGTTAACTCGAACAGCTGCTGGGCACAGTCCTTAATCAGCTCATCCAAAGCATCCTCCATGGCAGAGAGGTCAGACAGCTCCTGCTGCAGCTTCTTCTGCTGGGGCACTGCCGCGAAGCTGTTGAGATCGGATCCTCTGCGGAAGACAAAACCCGCCCTGAGCAGCGGCCATGGGACATCGAGGAGCTGCAGCTATGTATGTGCGACAAGGAGCACCATGCAATGACAGAGCCTCTGCTAACACGCTGTGGGTAGTCTCTTGCACGGTGCACGCTCTTGCATGGTGCACGCTCTTTCCGCAGAACGTTATGTTCACTATTCTTCTATTTTTCTTTTGGATTTTCTGAGACAGGGTCTTGCTATGTAGCCCAGGTTGGCCTTGACCTTGTGGTGATCCTCTTGCCTCAGCCTCCCCAGTGCTGGGACGACAGGTGTGCACTACCTCTCCTGGCTCATTATTCTTTAGACGTACCTTCTTCAGTCACTAACGGCTACTCTAGCAAGGTAAGACTAAGCAACGACTGACACGCACTTCCACCCCTTCAGCCTTTTTTTTGAGACAGTCTCAATATGCAGTCCAGGCTGGCCTCAAACTCACAGCAATCCTCCTGTCTCAGCCTCCTGCATGTTAGGATTATAGGTGTGTGCCCTGACACCTCGACTTCCTGCTCTAATTCTCATTAATGACTCAGAACACAATCCGAGGAGCCCCTGAGTGAACAGGGTACCAGGGCAAGGAACTCCTGCATACGTCGGTCCTGGAGGGTGCAGTGCAGGCTCCCGCCCACCCACCCCCTTTCTCAACCTTACAGGTTCCCCTGGTAGCAAGCGTAACTATGGAAGACTTTCTACAGCTACACTTCCTATTCATTCTCATTAAAGAAACAAAAGAAATCAAGTCCTTTGTGGGACACGGTAAGAAAATCTTACAGACTCTTACCTAGTGAAGCTCACACCTGATTTTATTTTGCTCTGCCAATCATGACTAATGTCTGGCTTGATCTAAGAACAGAACTATCACGTAACAATGGGAAACAGCAAAGGAGGAGCCGCTGGATGCCAACTCACATCCACCGGATGTGGTTCTTGGATTTCTTCTCGACCAGAGCGATGCCGTCCAGGACGTTGGTGATGTCGTACACCCTGCGCTTGCGCACGCCCAGCTTGCTCGCGACCCTGTTTAAGTCCAGGATGCCCCCGGGGGCGGATCTGACAAGATCCATAAATCTCCGAGTTAAATACACTAGCGATACATCGAAACGTGGCCTCTTCACTTTTAGAGCTTCTGGGAAAGAAAATAAGCACATTTGTAAAATTTAAGTCACATTTTCCACTCATTTAAATAATCACATACATTTCCTCTTGATCAGAAAGCGTGGACAAGTGCAGAGACGCCAGCGCACTGAGCACGGCACAGCTGACTCCAGGGGACAGCCTCCCTCCACACTGGAGGACCCTCCCCAGCCACTCGGGGAAGCTGCCTGCACCCCACGGAGGTGACGGCCCTGTCGGTCCCCATGGCGGCTCACGTCTGTTCAGAAACACCCTTTCTACAAGCTGGATGAGAGAGGATCTTAAAATTAAATTCTTTAAGAAGATGTATTTTAGGAAAAAAAAAAAAAAAAAAAAAAAAGGTTTCACTCTTATTATTTTATGTTTCTAGCCACATGGCAAACATAACCCTGTCCGACAAAGGGTCTGAAAGAGCCCAAACGGGTCCCGTCCGCGGACGAATCTGGTCCAGTGGGGGAACAGGCCGCGTGCATCTGAGGACGTCACCGCCCTCTCTCACCAGGTAAGAACAGCCCCGGGAAGCCCTCCGACCCCTCGCTTAGCCTGGAGGATGCCCTGGGGTTTCCACCTCTTCCACCGGGGTAATCTTTAAAGCAAAACTAGGAACGCAGCGTTTTTTAACAGGGTCCTTTATGCCACGATCATCATGATATCAACAACTGTTTCATGACAACTCTTAATGGCTGCATATTTAATGGCACAGAATAGTTGCTAAAACTAGTCCCATGCTGTGAATTCAGTGCCTCCAAATCTACTGTTCTGCAGTGCTTCGGTGAGCCCCCTCGATGGGTGATGAGCGGACCCGCAGCTCTCTCCGAGGTAAAGCCCCAAAGGCAGGGCAGCTGAGCTCCAGTGTCCGACGACTGCGCAGACGGAAGGTCGTAGCGCAGAGGGCGCCTCGTCTCGTGCGACAAGACCACCACTCTTCATCTTTTCCAACCTCACACTGTGAGAAGTGCCCACGGTCTGGCTGGCAGAGAGACCATGCTTAATACTTCGCTGTGAGTCTGCTCTAAACACCTGCTTTTTCTCTTCTCCCAAACACTGCCGTCAGTGGCTTCAGGTAATTGCTGCCCTCGAACAGAAGCATACAGTCTGCGAGGTTGTCTCCCAGGATGCTTACTTCTCGCCTTTTTGAAAAAACTTTTGAGACAAGGCCTTGCCATATAGCCCAGGCTAGCCTCAAACTCTGGCAACCCTCCTGCCTCAGCCTCCAGAGTGCTGGGATGACAGGTGTGCGCCACACGCCCAGTTTGGATGCCTATCCCTGCACATCGACAAGGATTTAGGTCTTTCTGAAGTAGAAGTCACAGCTCCACAACAGATCTTGGGAGACATCAGATAAGAAATTCTGCCTTTAAAAAGCATATCTTGTTATACTGTCATTAACAAGCTCAGGTTAAGGACGTTCCTAGGCTGCTTGTCCTTTTCTACAGCATGACAGCTGCTGAGGGGATATATGTAATCCTGCAGGTCTCTCAGTCTCCTGGGGCCCGAGGCTGCTGCTCCTCCTCAGACTGCCATGTGGACATCCACCGGGTCAAGGGCTGAGGGGAGGAAGCCAGCAGCAGAGTGACTTAGCGCCCAGACTTCCAGCAGGCAGTCTCCACCCTCTAGTCACCCATGCAGGCGCCACGAGGAGCAGGAAGTCTCCGGCGGGGGTCCTTGCACTGACAGCCAAGCTGCCGGCAACCCCGTGGCAAGGCAGGTGACCCTGCTCAGGGGCCTGGGGAAGAGGCCCCTAGACACAGGTCGGGTTTACCTCACTGCCACTGACCCATAATGCCTCTGGGTACACTGACAGCCGCTGCCACACACACTGCACAGGCACCACGGCCTGTCCTGCGGCGCCGTGGCTCTGGGGCGCTTATTCACGGCAGCCAGACGCTGCTCTGCCACGTGACCCCAGGAGCCCTGTCCCCAGAACTGCCCCTTGCTCCTCCTACCCCTGCTGCCTCCAGCTCAGCGCTGTGACCACATCCAGAAGGGATGGCACGTGGGGTTTCAGGTGGCATTGTTTCCAAAGCAAAGGAGGAAAAACCGCTGCATATGCACATCCTCCAGCCCCAGGACCGGCTGCTAAAAGTTCAGACTTTATAGTTCAGTGTAGCAAAGAGCAAATGTTCACTTTATGCTGATTCTCGTCACTTTGTGTGCATGTATCTCTTAATTATTAAATTTACTGGTACATTTTAGGTATACATAATGGTCACATTTATGATTGGGAGTTTTTTTTTTTTTTGAGACAGGGCTCACTATGCAGTTCAAGCTGGCCTTGAACTTGAAGTGATCCCCCTGCCTCAGCTTCCTGAGTGCTGGGATTACAGGTGTATGTCACCACGCTCCGTCTGTACGTAATGTATCTTGACTCTTTTTTTTCTCCCATTCCCTCCCCTTTCTTCAACTCCTCTTCCCTTCCTTATTTACAAAGCTTTCTTTCCATTTTTCCTTTTATAATTGTTTTTTTCCTTTCCCTTCCCTCCTTTTTCCCTCTCCCCTTGTCAGTCCCGCTCCCCATTTGAACATTTTCTATTTCACAGTATCTATTATACACTTTCAGATGCTCACACTAGAGAAACAATACGATATTTACATGTGTGTCCGGTTTATTTCACTTAAGAGTATGGTCTTCAGGTGCATCCATTTACCCAGAAATGTCTTAAGTTTATCCTTCTTTTTTTTGGTCTTTTTGAGACAGGGTCTTACTATGCAGTTCGGGTTCATCCTTCCTTATGGCTGAGTAATACTCCATTGCAGAAAAACCCCACACCTTCCTTACTGACTGATAAATGCATAAACAAGATGTGGTTTTTTAACTACTTCATGTATATTTCAAATAAATAATTTTAAGAACAGTCCATTCAACCTATAAAACCTAAAACCCAGTCAGCAATCAACTTACTTCTCATAGACACATACTGTACGTTATCTTCTAAATTAATCCTGATCTTCGATGGCTGAAAAAAAGGGAAAAGTTTGGTTCAGTAATATAAGAACAATGCAGCTGAACAGCATTTCACTCTGTAATATAAAGGTTTAAGGGCTGGGCATGGTGGCTCACGCCTGTAATCCTATCACTTGGGAGGCTGAGGCAGAAGGATCCTTGTGCGTTGAGACCAACCTGGGCTACAAAGTAAGCCTAAGGCCAGCCTGAATTGCATAGTGAGACCCTGTCTCAAAAGACAAAAAAAAAAAGAAAAAAAAAAAGGTTTAAGGTATGTCTAAAACCAATTAACAGCTGTGCATTCTCACTGTAAGGACTATAATAACAGCAGCATTTCAAAATTTTTTTGTCTCTTTGAGAGAGGGTCTCACTATGCAGTTCAGGCTGGCCTCGAGCTCATTTTGTACCCCAGGCTGGTCTTGTACTTGCAACGATCCTCCTGCCTCAGCCTCCCGAGTGCTGGGATTACAGGTATGTGCCATCAACAGCAGCATTTTTTTTTAGTAATTTTTTTCTCTAATGTTAATTTTTTTTTTTTTTGGTTTTTTTCCGCTACCAGGAATTGAACTCATGACCTTGTGCTTGCTAGGCAGGCGCTGTGCCGCTGAGCTAAAGCCCCAGCCTCCAAAGTACATTTTTGTTTGTTTGTTTGTTTCTTTTTGATACCGGGAATCGAACTTATGACCTCAGGCTTGCCAGGCAAGCGCTTATGCCGCTGAACTACATCCCCGGCCTCACCAGCAGCATTTTTAATAAGGGAAAATAAACAGGGTGAGCTGTGGCTAGCCAGACACTGTGTTGTTGGAGAAATGAAAAGGTGTTTTTTCAATTCCTGAACCAAGTAGGAAATTAGTAGTCATTCCTTACCACTTTGCTAGCTACTTCAAGAGTATCACACTTGTATAAACTGTTTGTTTTTTTGTTTTGTTTTGTTTTTTTTTTGTTTTTCTCCGGTACCGGGAACCAACTCACGACCTTGCGCTTGCCAGGCAGGCGCTTTTGCCGCTGAGCTAAATCCCCACCCGCCTCTTGTATAAACTGTTAGCAGCGCAGACACTGCCTTTGCAAAAAGTAAAGAAAGCCGTCATATGGCTGTGATCAGAGTCAGCTCTGACCTAGTGACACCATATTCTGTACAGCGTAAGCAGAGTCGGGGAGACAGTCCTTGGCTGGGACCCCAGATTCTGTGTAAACAATGAACTGCAGAGACGGAAGAGAAGACAGGGTTCCTGGTGCAGGGAACGAAGCAGAGGTGACAGGGTTGAAATCACCGGGGATGTTTGTAGCAGCCACCTGTGGCCACATCAGTGTCGGGGTTTGGAAGCGGGGAGGGCCATGACCAGGAGCTAGGAATCTGTGTCATAACCAGGAGAGCTGCCAGGGATTCTGAACAGGATGGTGCGTAACGGAGCTCGTGGCTTAGGAATACGGCATGAGTCAGGCCAGAAGGAAGCTCGAGGCCAGGTGAGCAGTCCACAGCTCTTTAGGGCAGTGTGACGGGTCCACAGCACCTGTGGCAGACGCTAGTGTCCAGAGCAAGTTACTCCACACAGTGATTCCATGGAGAGAACCCACCAGGGAGGAGCTTTGAGCTGCCAGGAGCACATGACCCGCTGGGGGTGCTGTCCCGCGGCAGCTAGTTCTCTTCTGCAGTGCGAGTGAGTAACCAGCGCCAGGACAGCACTGAGGAGCCCTGTCACAGCCAGTGTCGGTCAGGCACAGGTGACTGTCACTGCCACCCACACACGCCCTCTCTCAGTGGAGTCTGAGACAAGGCTGGCCCTCAAAGCAGAGTTCCCACAAAACCCAAAAAAGCAAATCCCCTCAACCCTGCGGGCTTCCTCCTGCTCTCAGGGCGGTGCATACACCACAGCCCCATGCGCCGCGGGTCTGCTGTCCCATCCCCTCCGAGGGAACCCCCCTTCTCACAGCGGCTCACAGGCTGGCACAGGACATTGTCAGAAAGGCTGGCTCTCGCTTCCAGCTCTGCTGTCAATGTGGATTGGCACCAGACACGTGGGAAACAGGTTCCAACCATGCTCACTGTTTCCATCCTCTGAGAGTGAACTCACACTCTAGGCAGAAGTACAGCTATGGTCCCGGGGAAGACGCCCACAGATGCAGCTCCCTCTGTGTCTCAGCTGCCGCAGGAGCGGGAGGCCAACAGAGGCACAGAGGCACTGAGGACGGAGCCAGGAGACTGCCGGCCCCCAGCTAGGACCTACACAGCGAGGCCCCAGAGGACAGTGTGCCCTCGCATCTGCAACTCAAGCCTGAACTGACCTGGCAGCTTCTTTGATGGTGGAAGAAAGACAAAATAAAAGCTGATCGGTGGGGGCTCACATTGTATGTGCTGCTCAAATTGGCTCAAGTTCCCATACTCGGAGGCCTCGGTGCCAGCGCCCCAGTGTGGGGAGCAGCACTGTCCAGGGCCCCATGGAGATGCCCCCTTCTGCCAGGCAACACAGGCTCCGGCTCACCCCACCGCCCATTAATTTTGCTTCTGCCTGCTCAAGACTCTAGAGGCAGGCAGGCAGCTTCCAGGAACCAGGAGACACTAACTGACCTCTGCATGCCAGCAGCTCATTAAAAATGTCCATTCATCAGTCTTAAACGCTGAGGCAGGTGTTCAACTCCGCTATTCTGCAGGGAAGGAAATTAACACTCAGGCACTTACAGAGTGTCCACTCCATTCATCCTGCAAGTGGACAACGGTAAACAGACAGGGACTATGTGCGGCAGCCCTCAGGGACCTTTGAAGGCCAGCAGGGGGAGGCCCAGCACTCTGGGGCCAGTGAGTGGCTACCCAATCTGTCTTGAGGATACCCTGGTTTCTCTTCAGATCCCAACCTGTCTTGGGGTCAGGGAAGTTTCTTCAGACAGGTAGCCCAAATCTAGACCCTGAACACCACAGAGATAACATGGAAACACCTATAAAAAAAATTTTAGGGGAAAGAGAGTCAGCTCCACAGCACAGATGTGTGGGCAGTTCAACCCAGACTGAGAAAACAGAAATTTGATGATCTAGGAGAATAAAAAAAAGTAGCAACATGGAGCATCTAGCAGCTATAAATACTTCAGAAGAGATAAGTCTGGAGCCAGATGAGATTATGAAGTTTCTTTTCTTTTGTCTTTTTGAGACAGGGTCTCACTATGCAGTTGGGGTGGGCCTTGAGCTCACTTTGTAGTCCAGGCTGGTATCGACCTTGCAAAGATCCTCCTGCCTCCTCCAGAGTGCTGGGATTACAGGCGTGTGCCACCACACCCGTCGATTATGAGGTTTCTATTCTACTCTATCCTAGCTCGCACAGTAAGACTGTAATAGATTCCTTCGTTGGAATGCAGAGGTTAGAGACACACCTCTTGAAGACAAGACTTTTGCCCACAAGTTTTGGTGCTTCTAACTTTGGCTCTGGGACTCTGTTATACCAGGTGGTCTGGACTGGAGTTTAACCCTGATGGGCCTTGTAGCTTTGAAGGCAAAACAACATGGGTGGTAAAATCCTTTTGGGGTTTAATGAGCAATTTAGAAGGTGATGGATTTGGGCAATTATTCTAGGCTTTTAAATAAGGCCTGGTGTTTTGGTTCTTCAATTTTCTCTTGGCTGCTGTTCTTGCAGCTTTTCCTGCTGTTCTGCAGCAGTGGCTACAGTGGAGGCTCCTGGTCTTACGGTGACTCCTCAGGGACAGTTTCCCTTCCAAAGAGTAGGAACATGCTTTGCAGCAGAATTAGTCACATGCATAGCACATGTGGAGAGTTGGGGTGAAACTGCAAGCAGCAAAGCTGGCGAGGAAGGTCCAGGCTCAAAGATAGAGCAGGCCTGGCTGGCGATTCACCTTACATGGACCTGGAGCCTGGAGATCAGACTGGAAGGGAGGAGAGGCAGAGCCCAGCACCCTGGGGGGGCACCCATTCATCAGGCCAGGACACCACAAGGTCGGTGACTGCTTGGCAAAAAGATGGACGAGTTGCATTCTGGATGTCAATTTGCATATCTACACAAGGACAATACCTACATCTGGTCATGTAAGTCCGGGAGTACTGAATGGTCTCCCACGTGAACGAAGTGCCAAGGCAGTGGAAAAGAACATGGAATGACACCCAAGTGTCAGGATAGGGAAGGGGAGGAGGGTGAGGAGAGGTCAGACGGGCAGCTGGGGCACCAGAGTACTTGGTGTTAGAGGGAGCCAAGCGCAGAGTTCCCAGCAACAGCGGTCACCCACGGCACAGAAGTCAGCAGTGAATCAGCTGCTGGAACCGAGGAGAGGGCTGGGGCCTTCGGATGTACACTCTTACAAATGGGCCAAGACAGAAGTCTCTGGCTGTGAGAGCTGCGCGGTAAGGACAGGTGAACAAGCATGACATGAGTGCAAACAGCTTTCTTTCTTTTTTTTGGTACCGGGAATCGAGCTGAGGACCTCGCGCTTGCCAGGCAGGTGCTGTGCCACTGAACTACATCCCCGGCCCAAACAGCTTTCTTCGCAAGTCTGGCTGTGCAGGAGAAAAGATACCGTCAGTGGGAGGGAACAGACTTAAGCGGGGATGGAGAGAGGATGCAATTTAGTCAAAATTTATCATCTGGAGTCGGACATTCTGACGTCTCATGGGCTTCTCCACTTACTATTTAACCATGCACTAATTATGTAACACCTCCAATTCTGACAACGATAATAACGATCATCTAGCCAGGTATGAGGTGCACACCTGTGATCCCAGCACTCAGGAGGCTGAGGCAGGTGGACTGCCTTCAGTTCAAGGCCAGGCTGAGTCACATAGCGAGTTCAAGAGCAGCCTAAACTATACAGAGACCCTGTCTCAAGGAAAACAAAAGTGTGCGTGTCGGGGGAGGGGTGTCGCAGAAAAAGGATGGGTTCATCAGGGAGCTTCGGTAACCCGGGAAGGCACAGCAAGAGATGGTGGGGGACGACCGCGAGGCTGCGGAGAGGCGCGGAAGGCGCCTGGCGGACGCACAGCCCCACCCGCGGCCCGCAGCTCTGCAGCCCGGAGCGGC